TCGGCGCCCGGGCGGAGGCTGGGGCCCGGCTCCGCTCTACCTGCTCTGCCTGGCAGCTGTCCAGCGTTGCCCAGGTCCTGGCGAGAGGCTGAGCCGCGACCCCGAACGGGAGCTGGCTAGCGGGGTGTAGTTTCAAACCCTCTGGACATGGAACACGTTGGCATTTAACTGTATCTGCCAAGGGCTTGGGGAAAAACTGAACCCGGCAAATTTTGGCCCCAGGCGCATCCTGGCGCAACAGTGTTACCAGCCCTGGATCGGGCACCTGGATCCTGCCAGTTTCCCCCATTTTTTTACCCAAATCTCAACATGTTTACCTGCTTCTCTCTATCTTAACTCCCCCGATCTCGATGCAGCTTACTGCAGCAGCGCTACAAAAAAAGCATTTTTGTGGCTAGAATATATTAAAAAAATTAAAAGGATTCCTTGAAATGAAGAGTCAAATACAAGTGATAATAGAGAGATTGGGAAGTTGATGGCCAAAACTCAGCCAGATGTAGTCACTGGATACACGTGTTTGCAGCACTGTTGCACTATTGATACATTGGGATCCAGATGATTGTGGTGGACTAGGAGAAGCTGCATTTGTACTGAATGTAGATGGTAAAGTGGGGAACAGGCAGCCAGCAGAGTACATATACCAAATGAGAATTGTTGATAGCTTCCTTGTACCTGGGTGAGTGAAGGTCCAGAATGGTTTGGTGGAATACTGAAAAGTGGTACTGTTTCTGGGTTTGTGGAGAAGTTGGGCAAGACCCAGCAACATTTAGATTTTAGATCAGAGTTTCTGTGGAACTGTTGTTGCATTAGGGTACATTGGGGTCTGGATTTTTAAGTTGCAGTAGGAACAGCAAAACTTGTCTATTTAGGTGGTGCTGTTTCAGAGAATGGGGCCAAAAACTGTCAGGATGCAGGTAGTAGATCTGTCATTTTGTATTCCTGTTTCTTTCATCAGAGTCTGGGAATTTTTGGTGCCATAGATAGAGCTAGACCCATGGTGTCCGACCAGTTCTGAAGCAATAGCCACTATAGTGGCTACCACTATAGCAAACTAGCCATACTCAACTGGCCAAATAGCCACGTTAGCATGTTGGATACCACAGGCCATACTTAGTCTCTATTTTGACAATACTTTATGAGGTTGTTTAAAAAAATTGGCAGATTCCAGGTAAAATCCATTTTTATCTTGCTTCCTTGGTACTTTTACCCATTAGATTTCTCACACATATATTTCTGGTGGGACATGGAGTAATTTTAAAATAATTTTAAAACTAAATCGGATAATTGCCAGAATGTTATCAATATGTATGGTACTTGAGTGATGATATTTTAGAGAACAGATGCTTGCATGTGATACAGTGTTACTTCTTATATGAGTATCTGTTACTTCAAGGGGGGAAAGATAAGACAGACTGGTACATTGCTAAATCTCAGCCACTTCCTCATAATATGACAAGGGCTCCATCTTGCTCTCATTCTTCAGTGGAAGTCTTACCTGAGGAAGGAGTGTGAGATCTGTCCTCATAGCTGGTTATTCTTAAGCTTTTTAACAGTAAAAGGTGGTAAAATTGTTTTGTTTTATTTATTTATTTCAAGATTCATGATGTTGACAGTTATGTTCTTGGCTGCTTTCACTTTTACTACAGTAAATTCACAGGAAACTGAAGAAACTATAACATACACGGTAAGGTTTAATAGACTTTGAGATAACTATTGTTTAGTAGGAATTCTTTCCTAAATAACCCTCAACAGACACACCATAGTTCTTTGCCAATATAGAGTGCTCAGTTCAAAGTTCTTTGAGTTTGTATTTTAATCTTAAAGTTCTGTGAAACCCAGTTGAAAACTTTGAATTTGTTGGTGATACCTTCTGTTTTGAATGGTTTATTTAATTATTGAATTAGATGAATTGAACAAAATTATAAGGGGAGGCTTTTTCCATGCTTTTCAGAAAGATCTGACCCTTCTGGAAAATGTCATCCATAACAGAAAAGGACATGATTTAGTGTGATTTGCAAGTCCAAGTTCTGTGAAGTAAGGCCCTCATGTCCCTTCAAAATTACAAAAATATTGTATATGATTTGTTTAAAACCAACTTAGTACATTACCTAAAAATATATATAACAACATATGTGTTAGCTATTAGTCAAAGGTTTTGCTCCATTTCTGCTAGGAGGTTTCAAGATGGTTTAACAAAATATAAGTACTTTGTAATTTTAGTCTTAACATTTAATGAAGTGTTTAAATTATTATGTTTTTATCTGGCATATCATCAGTCTCAGGTATAGCTTTGAACAGTTGTTTGTGTGGTCATAACCAGCTGCTAATAATATATTGGAAATATATTCTACTTGCACTCTCAAATGGATGTGATAAGAATAGAGGGGCAGGGCTTCCTCCCTTATGCAAGTTGCATTTTCATTTATGTTTGCTCGTTTACTTTTGTAATGAATATCCCTGGCAGAGTAATGTTTACATTGGCTTGGAACATCACATTTTTTCATATTTGACCCCTATTAAAACCAAAGGCCCCGATCCTGAAACTTGTTTCATGAAGATGGAGTGCTTTTCCTGCTCAGAGCTGCTCTGAAATTAGTGGGATTCCACACAAGCTGAGAAGTTTGTCCTTTTGGAGCACATTGTAGGATTGTGGCCAAAGGGCCTGAGATCATGCAATTGTTGCTCATAGAAGTAGTCTCACTGAAGTTAGGGGACTGCTCACAGGAGTAAATGCTGCAGAATTAGTCTATACCTTATAATTACTTATATTACAGCAAAAATGTATTACATGGTTTAAAATAGGACTTTAAAAGTGAGATTATGCCTAGTACATAGTCTCATTTTCCATTTTTTATTGTGTAGCCCCTAAAAAAATCTACAAAAGCAACAAGGAGCCCTGTGGCACCTTATAGACTAACAGATGTATTGGAGCATAAGCTTTCGTGGGCAAAGACCCACTTCGTCAGATGCATAAAAAAATCTAGCAGCCTTCCAGCAAGGTTGCCTGACTTTAAGATCTCCCATAATATTTTCAACAGTGATGTATACTACTATGTCCCATTTTTCAAAGTGACTTTAGCATTTAGAAGGCCAAACCTCATAGAATGTCAATGGACTTTGGCTTTAAATGCCTAACTCACTTTTTAAATGGGTTTTAGTTGTTTTTTAAAAGTGTACCCTATTACACTAATATTTTTGATACATGTGCTGTATTCATTTTGAGCGAAATCTTGGTTCTACTGAAGTCAGTGGCAAAACTCCCATTAACTTTGATGGGAGTGGATTTGGCTTATTAGTATTAAGTACACATTTCTTCTGTTGTGCATTAGCAGGAACTGGGCGATTCAGTAAATATATGAATTTGCTGTTTTCCTTTGGGCTTGGGTTTTCATAGCTACAGTAACTTTTGTGGTGTCAACTCAGCATGTAGTCATTCCTTTAGAGAGCTAGAATTATAATACAATTAGCAGTATTCTTGCCCCCTCCTAACACTAGAGGCTTTTCCTTCCAGCTCACTGCTACATTTGGCAGATTACTGATGTCACCTGTGAATAAACAAAATGTTGTTGTTTTTAGTGCTGATTCATTCTCTGTTAGTAATAAGTTTCTCAAAACAACTTCAGCATAATACATTGAGCAACATGCAATACTCTGGGTCAAATTTATCCCTGATGCAGCTCCACTAAAGACAAGATGAAACAGCAAAAATTAATTTGACTCATGACTAGCTGATTTATTTAGTCAACTCCTTCTGCAACACTATGAGAAATAATATATCAAGTGAGAAATAATATAATATATCAAGCAGGACAGAAACACGTACTACTTCTATTGATGTTTTACATCTGTATCCTTATGCACTTCAACGGCATTATAGTGCTCAGTCAATTTCCACTAGTTGTCATTTGAGATGATAATTAAGCATCTAAAAAATTAGACATTACATACTAGAAAATGAATACTTTGGGGCAGAGGGAGAATGAAGAGGCCCTTCTAAAAAGTCTGGGACTTTATCCCTCAAGCTCTTTCTCACATTGGTAGTCCATACTGGTGTGAATAGATACACTGCAGTCTCATTTGAATGCTGCAAAGTCTTACTCACGTGAGCAGTCCCTGTGAGGCAATTCACAATTTTATGATGAGTCTTACAATACTTGCTATTTTTCATAAAGCCCAAGTTCCTGGAGTCATATGATTATATGAGACTCTGAACTTTCTTCTTAAAAAAAAAAAAAAAAAGTTTGTAGCCCTCCTGACTGCAGAGAAATGCTTAAGAATGTGAACCTTAATGGCTCAAAATCAAGACAACAAGAACTTACAATGTATTTTTTTTAAGTGTTGTGATTTAGAGTGTGACTCATTATTTTTGAGCTGGCAGTACTGTAGTCACATTGATATTAATTCATGTGAGTAAGGCTTGGCAGGAGCCAGGTCTTAAACAGGAGTGTCATCTACACCTGCATGAGTCAAAGAAGTTATGGTCTGGTCCTGAGATCTTGAGAGCCTTCTGCTCCTATTGACTTCCCTGGAAACAAAAGGTGCTCATCTTTCTGGAGACTCTGAGCACCTTGCAAGGTCAGACCCTTAATTTGTTAATTTAGAGTATTCATTAGGCCAACATTTGGGAAAGGATTATACATTTCCTGTAGAAACTTCTGATTAGTGTTGTTACATAGCACTATGGCACTAAGACCAATTCCCCTATATTATCAAAAATATTTAACCAGCCTGTTATAATTTTCTATACCAATAACAAGTGCATGGAAGCATTTATAAATATTAATCAGTCATTTTTTGGAATCTCTTTTCTATGCAGCAATGTACAGATGGCTATGAATGGGATCCTATCAGGCAGCGGTGCAAAGGTACAGTAAATCTTTATAAGTGAAAGGCTTGTTAATAGTATTTTAGTCCTTTCTCTTGAGTTATCTTCTACATCCTTTTTGATATTTTGGACAATACAAGAGTGCTTTGCTTGCATGACTTGTTTCTTTACTTGTGTTAATGTTTTTAAGGTCCCATTTTAAAGCATGACTTGTGTTGTTGCTAACCACAGATATTGATGAATGTGAAATTGTCCCAGATGCATGCAAAGGTGGGATGAAATGTGTTAACCACTATGGAGGATACCTGTGTCTACCTAGAACAGCTCAAATTATTGTAAATAATGGGCGTGAAGACACAACTGCTGAATCCACTGGTGGGAGAAACAATGTCATTCGACGGACCCCTGCTGATCCTCATCGACCTCCAACTCACCAAATACAGTGTGCAACTGGGTATGAGCAAAGTGAGCAAAATGTGTGCCAAGGTAAGAAAATATCTTCTGTAAATGTTTACATTCATGCTCAAATTGAATGATAAAAAATCAT